CGACCCAGTCACGCGCAGGAACCCGATGCTGCATCCAAGTATAGTTGGCGATTGCAAAAGTATTCTGAGGATAGACACGCTTCATACGCTATACCTCGGAGTGTGTCAGAAAATGGTCCAGGTTGCCGTCTGGAGGGTTCATGCAGCCAATCCTTGGAAAGCTACGGGTGATAAAGACGAGAGGCGTTCGGCGAATTTCAAAATGTTGCGTCTCCATCTGCAGAACTTCTATGAGACACACAATGTAGACTTATCGTATCGATTGAGGGATGTAACGCCGAAGATATTCGGCGATGGGCCGAACGGCCCCGTCCACACCAAGGCTGCAGAAACAGGGCCTCTTGTCCGTTGGGCCCGTCAGCTTCTAGTAGACTTCGCATGCGTCGGTGGCGACTATTTGTTACCTGCGGCCGATGCTTTGTTGAGACACCTTGCCATTATCAGGGATGGGGGCCCTACGTTGCCTCACAAGGACATGCAAGAGTTGATGGACACATTCCACAGGCATATCACGTGTTTCGAGAGAGGGGGCGGCAAATTTATTCCTAAACATCATTTATGGTGTCATTTGGTGATGCTGGTTCCCATGAATGGGAACCCGCGCTGCTACTCCACGTTCTTAGACGAGTCCCTCAACGGACTCGTCGCTGGCATCGCCCATGCGTCCCATCCTTCTACGTGGGAGAGGAATATGCACTGCAGGCTTCAATTGTTGCCGAGGCTGCAGGGTGCTAGTCATTTTGCATGATACGGTGCACGAGGGAGGAGGGAGGAGGGACAAGGGACGAGGGACGTCATCGTTCGTCGTTCGTCGTTTGTCGTTCGTTGAACGAACGACAAACGACGAACGACGAACGATGACGGACGGAGGTAGCGATCTGTCGAAGTTTATGCGACTTGGCCAGTTTAGGTCCATGAGCCCGCAAAACGGACGAGATCGCCCGCTGCAGTTTGGTAAGTGGCCTTGCGGATCTGTTTCACACCATGCCTTGAAGCCCAAGTTGGAACGATGCAAAAAGAGTCTGGCCAAACAGGGGAACGTCGGTATGTTTCTCGGTGGATCGTCGTCTGTGTTTCCTCGTCTCCCTGCCGGCTGCCAGGCTGCACGTGCAGCTGATCTACAGCACGATGATGAAACGCAATACATCTACAACATTATTCGGAAACTCGTGGGAGACATGGAGTACGACACGTCGCACCCGACACAGTGGATCGCCACGTCCCTGGCCAAGCTGACCCTGATCGACAAGTATATCATCAGGGATCTCGACTTCCTCGAGTTTGGGTTCGGGGAGATTGTGGACGCCTTCCAGAAGCTCCACGAGCTCGATTGGGGCGAGGCCAGGCAGAGCATGCGTGAGGAGTTCAAGTTCATCCACTGGTTCCAGCAGGACCTCTTGGAGGAGTGCACGGGCGGGCCAGTGCCCTTGATTTATGCAGGCATCTTCATCTGCAACTCAATTCATCAACAACTCACCTCCCCAACCATTTCCAAAACAATACAGCAAACAAATCGAATACATAACAGATCCTTCCTTCCTCCGATGCGAGGGGGTGAAGGAGGGAGGAGGGAGGAAGGAAGAGGGAGGAGTGGTGAGGCTGAGGGGTAGGAGGATTCGAAAGGAGGAGACCCCGAGGAGGAGCAGGAGTAAACAGATCAAGCGAGGAAAGAGGAGGGAGGAGGAGACAGGAGGAGGAGGAGGAGGAGGAGGAGGAGGAGGAGGAGTAAGACACAGAGAGGAGTAAAGTCTGAACCCCAGGCATGCTACTTTACCGAGTGAAGCCTGGCGGCACAGTTATGATGACCCCTCCTGACCAAACGTGGAGACATAGAGAGCGGAACATATATGACAGGTCCCTGGACGACACCACAGGGAACACATCATTACAATGTGTGCGAGACGCGAACGGAATTGCCGAGATCTGTGCCAAATTCTGTGAGATTGCCTACAATCGAAACGTCAATTACCTGCAGGAGACCTTAGCCGACACCACGTTGCATCTGCACCCCTCGCAGGTGGTGACCCACGCGGAGCTCAAGAGCTGCACGGCGACGTCTTGGTTGATAGGACGGCTCTCTCTATATTTCTCTCTCTCTCTCTCGTCATTCGGACCTCTACCCATGCCAACCCCCTCGCTCATTTCCCCTCCGTCCATCCGCGTGCGATCGCATTGGGACGGAATCGCATTCGGAAACGAGGGAGGCGGAACTGAGGATGGGGGAAGGGATGGGTAGAAGTCTGAATGTTGTGAGAACGCGGTTGAGGATATGGTTACAGCTTGCCGAGGCCTACAATATTTATTTGCAGTGAGACCTTACGCGAACGAGTGCTGAACTACCTAGTTGATTGGAGAGGCCCCGAAGATCACAGACTGCTTCCAGGATGGAAAAAAGACGATGACAGGAGGCTTCCACCAACCCCGCGGATAGGGTTGAACGAGACCTGCGATAAAATCCACGCCGAGTTTCGCACCCATGAAGCTCGTGATGCATATCCAGAGGAATACAAGAAGGCCACGCGGGGCCAACACTGTAGAGAAAAAAAGAGTAACGGAAGAGAACGGAGGGGGAGGCAGGGAGGAGGGAGGGAGGAAACGGAGGAAGTGAGTAGGAAGGATGAGGGACGGTGAGGGTGAATGAGAGAAGGAGGAGGGCAGAGGGAGAGCGTGCCCCCCCCCGCTGGCGAGGCGGTGGCCGCAGTGGTGTACTACACGATGTACCAGGTGGTCAAGGTTGATTGACGAGGGAGCTGAGCCCTCGCGAGCCTGAGCCCTCGCGAGCTCGACGAGGGATGAAAAGAAAGTGAGAGGAAGGGAGATGATGATGAGGAGGAGGAGGAACAGAAGGAAGAGGAGGAGGAGGAGGGGGAGGAGAGGGAGGAGGAGGTGAGGGGGAGGAGGAGCCGAGGAGGAGGAGGAAGGAAGGGAGGAGGGAGGAGAAAGAGGAGAAGAACGAGGAGGAGGAGGAGGAGGAGGAGGAGCAGGAGGAGGAGGAGGAGGGCCTCTCTCCTCCTCCTCTTCCTCCTCTTCTTCTTCATGCTCCTCCTTCTCCCTCCTCTTGTTGCGCCTTTCCTCCTTCTCCCGCCTCCTCCTCCTCCTCCTTCTCTCCTCCGCCTCCTCCTCCTCCTCCCCCCTCCTCTCCTCCTCTTCCTGAGTCCCCTCCTTGGTCGTCCCCTCCTGCTTTCTGCTGCTTCTCCTCCTCCCTCCTCCTCCTGCGCTAGCTTCCTCCTTCCTCCACCTCCCGCTTCCTCCTTCCTCCTCCTCCTCCTCTCCTCCTCGCTCCCTCCTCCTCCTCCCCCTCCTCCCTCCTCCTCCTCCTCCTCCTCCGCCTCCTCCTCCTCCTCCTCCTCCTCCTCCTCCTCCTCCTCCCCCCCCCTACCAGTCGCTCGTAGGGACGGTGCGTATCACAGATCGGGGTAGCAACGCGGCAATGCCGAGGACCGTGGTTCCCGAGGACTGTGGAGAGGCCCCCCTTGGAGGGGAACTGGGTGCCCGCGGAGCCATGGCCCTCGGCATTGCATCTTTGCCACCGCGTCGATCCTGATGTCAGGGAGAATGTCAGATAGGGATGTCCAGAAGTATACAACAGTTGCTGGCCGGACAACGATTTGCTGGCCTCGACCCTGCCTAGCCTCCTACTCCTCCTCCTCCTCCTCCCTCCTCCTCCTCCTCCTCCTCCTCCTCCTCCTCCTCCTCCTAGTCCTACTCCTCCTCCTCCTCCTCCTCCTCCTCCTCCTCGGGGCGCGGCGGTCTGGAGGAGGAGGAGGGGGAGGAGGAGAAGGCGGAGGAGGAGTAGGAGGAGTAGGCTTAAGAGGAGGAGGGGGGGGGGGGAGGGGGAGGAGAGGAGGAGGGAGGAGGAGGGAGGAGGAGGGAGGAGGAGGGAGGAGGAGGAGGGGGAGGGAGGAGGAGAAAAAGGAGGAGGAGGAGGAAAGGAACGGGGGCCTGCAGCTGGAGCGAGGCCGCCTGCGACAATGGGCGCTGCCACGTGCGGGCGGACGGACGGGGGTGCCGTCCTCCCTCCCTTCCTCCTTTTCCTCGCCCCCTATTTCCTTTGTCCTAATCCGCCTTGGCGCCGCGCACATTCGTCAACAGCTGGTACGATCGCCAGCTCTTGCCTCAACGCCGCGCACATTTGTTATAAGATTTACAACAGCTTCAAGGATCGAGGGGTTGCGTTCGACGGCGCTTCGGCGCGTGACCCATGCGCCAGCGTTGACAAGGCCGCGCAAAACGTCACCCTCGCAAAAGTGATCTTACGCAGGCCGCAAAAACAATATTCACAAGCCCCTAACAAAACATTGACAGATCGCATGCGTAGCTAAACAGGAACATTCATCCGAATCTTCGTAAGATAAAACGATGCCACGACGAAGTTCTTTCATAGACCAACGACTCCGATCTGTGGAAAAAAACAGACGGGATGCGAATTCTAAAACTGATGTAAAAACGCCTGCGCAAGAATTCGCTGGTCAAAAACGCCTGCGTAATTCTTCCGGAGACAAAGTCAACATAAAATTCTTCCGGAGGTTGCTTAAGATATTGGCAGACCGACCCTCTGGGTGCAGAGTCGTACAGACCACTAGCGGCGCAGAGCTCACTCAGGGCTCCCGCGCCAGAAAAGAGGTCAGCTGGCTGGGGGCCGGCCTCTCGAAACTGCTTACCTATGCGATCGAGGACGTTCCTCTGGCAAGAGGTCGGGCTCGCAGAACGGCAGGCCGGCCCAAAGCCGTAAGCACTATTGAGGGAGGAGATGGCATCGTTGGCCCAGTCGACAGAATGCTTAACTTTGCGACGGCGTCGGATGACGCCGCCACTCACGTTGGAGGCACCGCGGCCAGGCCTACTGGGAGAGGGGAGAAGAGGAAGGGGAAAAATGTCTCTGGTACGAACAGAGGCAGCGCCATCAGATGTCGTGCCCGACCGTGGCGCCCCGGTCGGAGGGGGCTCACGCGTCTGGTCGCCGCACACCGGTGCCCTTGTCCCGGCGTCGGCGGCGGCATTCACCCCTGCTCCTTGCCCCCCGCCTTCTTGTTGTTACGAGGCTGGCGGCTGGCGATGCGCTCTTCCCGAGCCCCTCGTCTTTCTTTCATCGCCGAGATCTCCCTGGCGAGCTCCTGCGCGATCCGATCTTGCAGCTGCTGGGCCACGCACGCGTTGCCTCTGGCGAGGTCCGAACCCCAGAAGAGGTGAGAATCAACTATGTCCTCAGACCCGATGTCGCGACCACTGTGGCGCTCTCCTTGCACCTGAAGAGAACGCCCCAGCCACTCGAAGGACGCGATCTCAATGATGTTCAGCAGGCCAAAGCAGGCGGCCGTACCCACGGCCATGCACACGCGGAGGTGATCCTCCACCCCAGGCTCAGGGCCGTCGAGGCGGGCCCCCGCCATGAAGCGGTTGTGCCTGGCCACAGGCGGCCCGTCGTTGGCCACGATGAACTTGCTGACCCAAGGAAGGGCGCTCGGCCCGCGCACGGGCCAATCCGCAGACGGCGTGACCGTGGGAATGGTGACGGCAGCCCTGAACACGCGACATCGCACACTCTGAGAATCGACCTCGAGGGCCTGCACCCGCAAGTCGTAGACGGGGGCTCCAGCCACGCCACCGCCGTCTGGCGCCGCGCCATCCGCCAGCGGGGGGCCTCCTCCTGGGGCCGCCACCGGGGGCGCGGCCGCCCGATCTGCTCCTGCCGCGGCTCCTGCACCAGCAGCCCCTCCGGCGGGGCCAGGGGCGGTAGCGGCCGCTGCGGCGCAGCCCCTCCTGGCCCCGGCAGGTGCGGCCGCTGCGGCCGGCACGGGTGGGCCCGCGACCGCTGGGGGCACCCGGGTGCCCGCTGGGAAGCCAGCTGCAGGGAGGCGGCCAGGGCGGCCGGGCCCTCTCCGTCGGACGACGCCGCGCCACCGAGCGGCGGGCACGGCTTGGAGACCACGACCCTCTCGTGCCCCAGAACTGGTCCAGGGGCGTCGTACCTGACATCGAGGAAGCCGCCCTCGCTGAGGCCACCAGCCTGCACGGGCATGCCGGCCCCCACCGAGAGCGGTCGCCCAACCGTGCTCCGTGAGAAGGGCTCGGCCGCCAAGGCGAAGCCCCGCCGCGCGACTCCCGCGGCCATCGCACCACACAGCCGAGCCAGCAGCGGCAGAGCGCGAAAGCGGGAGACTGGGGCTGGGGCGACCGCGCCGCCGGCCAACGGCAACCCGCCACCCTGCCAACCCTGGGGCGGCTGCACTGCCTCAATGATGTCGGTCGCCACGGCGGTGTCCTCGCTGTAGTCGTCGTGGTATGAAGTCGGAATGGTGTACACTCCTGGGCCGGGCATGGCACCCGCCATCACCGCCCCTCAGAGCGAGAGCTCACCCGCCGCTTCAGCGCCAGGGCCTCCAGCTGCAGCCAGGCCTGCTCCGCGATCGGCCCCACCTCAATCGCCTCCGTAGTCACCACTCGGGCGGGGTGAGGCGCGCTTCGGGCCGTGGAGGCCCAAGCAAGGGGTAGCCATGCGAACGCGATGCCGATGCTGACGAGGAGGATGCCCCAAAGCAGCGAGCCCAGCCAGGTTGCGCCGTTAGCCTCCTGCCTGATCACGTTACCGCAGCTGACGGTGGGGCAGCTCGAGCAATCACAATTGACCACAGGCCGACAATCAGGGCACTGGACACGGTTGGCCCAGGTGAGGACGGCCGCTGAGGTGGAGGGGATCAGAGAATTAGCGGTTCCCTCGAAGAGCACCTCAGCCCCGCCCAAAATGGGCACTGGGGGGAAAGAGCTTGAACCAGAAACCGAATTACGGCACACTCGTCAGCTGGCTATGCTTCTACTTTGAAAAGAGGGCATATGTATATATCTATCTTCCCATCTATCTAACTCCGTATCCACACTCAGGAATCCACCATCGAGACACCATCGGGCCAACCATTGGGTCTACAATCGGGATATCCATCGGGCAAGCCATCGGGAAAAACCTTCGGGACAACCATCCGGACAACCATCGGGATAACCATCGGGACAACCATCGGGACACCCATCGGAACAACCATCGGGATAACCATCGGGACAACCAGCGGGACAACCATCGGGACAACTTTCGGGACAACCATCGGGCCCCCCCCATCGGGACAACGATCGAGACAACCATCAGGACAACCATCGGGACAACCATCGGGACAACCATCGGGACACCCATCGAGACAACCATCGGGACAACCATCAGGACAACCATCGGGACAACCGTCGGGACAACACCATCGGGGAAAACCATCGGGACAATCATCGGGACAACACCATCGGGACAACACCATCGGGACACTGCCATCGGACCCACCTTCGGGACAACCGTCGGAACAGCCATCGGGAAAACCATCGGCACATTACCATCGGAACCACAATCGGGACAACAATCGGGACAACCATCGGGAAAAACCATCGGGACAACCGTCGGGACAACCATGGGGACAACAATCGGGACAACCATCGGGACAACCATCGGGACAACCGTCGGGACAA